ACTTCTTACATGTTGAACTCAAATACCTTTACTTTCTACTTCTTACATGTTGAACTCAAATACCTTTACTTTCTACTTCTTACATGTTGAACTCAAATACCTGTACTTTCTACTTCTCTCATGTTGAACTCAAATACCTGTACTTTCTACTTCTTACATGTTGAACTCAAATACCTGTACTTTCTACTTCTTACATGTTGAACTCAAATACCTGTACTTTCTACTTCTCACATGTTGAACTCAAATACCTGTACTTTCTACTTCTTACATGTTGAACTCAAATACCTGTACTTTCTACTTCTTACATGTTGAACTCAAATACCTGTACTTTCTACTTCTCACATGTTGAACTCAAATACCTGTACTTTCTACTTCTTACATGTTGAACTCAAATACCTGTACTTTCTACTTCTCACATGTTGAACTCAAAATACCTGTAACTTTCTACTTCTTACATGTTGAACACAAATACCTGTACTTTCTACTTCTTACATGTTGAACCCAAATACCTGTACTTTCTACTTCTTACATGTTGAACTCAAATACCTGTACTTTCTACTTCTCACATGTTGAACTCAAATACCTGTACTTTCTACTTCTCACATGTTGAACTCAAATACCTGTACTTTCTACTTCTTACATGTTGAACTCAAATACCTGTACTTTCTACTTCTTACATGTTGAACTCAAATACCTGTACTTTCTACTTCTTACATGTTGAACACAAATACCTGTACTTTCTACTTCTCTCATGTTGAACTCAAATACCTGTACTTTCTACTTCTTACATGTTGAACTCAAATACCTGTACTTTCTACTTCTTACATGTTGAACTCAAATACCTGTACTTTCTACTTCTTACATGTTGAACCCAAATACCTGTACTTTCTACTTCTTACATGTTGAACTCAAATACCTGTACTTTCTACTTCTTACATGTTGAACTCAAATACCTGTACTTTCTACTTCTTACATGTTGAACTCAAATACCTGTACTTTCTACTTCTTACATGTTGAACTCAAATACCTGTACTTTCTACTTCTTACATGTTGAACTCAAATACCTGTACTTTCTACTTCTTACATGTTGAACTCAAATACCTGTACTTTCTACTTCTTACATGTTGAACTCAAATACCTGTACTTTCTACTTCTTACATGTTGAACTCAAATACCTGTACTTTCTACTTCTTACATGTTGAACTCAAATACCTGTACTTTCTACTTCTCTCATGTTGAACTCAAATACCTGTACTTTCTACTTCTTACATGTTGAACTCAAATACCTGTACTTTCTACTTCTTACATGTTGAACTCAAATACCTGTACTTTCTACTTCTTACATGTTGAACTCAAATACCTGTACTTTCTACTTCTTACATGTTGAACTCAAATACCTGTACTTTCTACTTCTTACATGTTGAACTCAAATACCTGTACTTTCTACTTCTTACTCTTTGAACACAAATACCTGTACTTTCTACTTCTCTCATGTTGAACTCAAATACCTGTACTTTCTACTTCTTACATGTTGAACTCAAATACCTGTACTTTCTACTTCTTACATGTTGAACTCAAATACCTGTACTTTCTACTTCTCTCATTTCCCAAACAGCTGGTTCCTTTAGTCTGAATGTGTGTTTGGTGCGTGATCATTATTCTTTAGAGTCATTGCGTGCCTATTGATTTGAACACGATCCGTGTATCCATCATTTCCTGGTCTTCTCTAAAGAAGAGGGACCAATGGAAACGTTGTCATGTTGCCGTTGTTCAGCATGGAAACATTCATTAGCTAACAATGACATTATTGTTCTATTAATATAAAGGGAGGTCAGGTACTCTTTAAAGCAGCTGCTAGTTATGGGTACTTTTTACTGAAGTACATTTCAAAGCCTCTTTACTTTGACTTGAGTAAAGTAGTTTAGTCAGTACTTCTACTTTCACCAGAGTATTTTTAAACACGAGTATCTGTACTTCTACTTGAGGAAAGGATGTGTGTACTGCAGCCGTCTCTGTTAATTAGCTATTCAATTAAAAAGGGACAATATATGATGAACATATTGCAACTCACACCAGAATAATCTAGAGATGATTTGCACTACAGGTTAGAGGAACAGTGTGTATATCTTAATATTGGGGGGATCTCTCACTTTAACAGTAGCTAATGCAGGTTTATGAAACACTGACCGGTTTTCACCATCCATGGGCGGGTGGTGTGCAGATGGTTGACTCCAACCCACGCTGCAGCAACATTCTTGGATACCTTTAAGACAATGGAAACAAGGACAGAAATACCTATTATACAAGCGTCACATTTGGAGAAGCCTGTGACCTAAGAATTTCATCGCATAACTACACTGTAGCTATGTTCGTATGACTAAATGAAGAACCTTGAAATAAATATTCTGTAATGCAGAATTTCAAACCAGGAAATAAACAATATCCAAAATATGAGACACCATCTAGTTTCATCTCACGATATTGATATAATAATGATTCTCCTAGTGCTAATTCAGACTTTTACAAGGATTTTTAACTATTTTTAAAATCAGAACATCATTAAATGTGATCACCAGGTATTTCTTTGTTTTAGAATTAAAAAACAGATGCTTGGCTCTTGCTTAAAAACAACAGAGAGAGTTGATCTAAGTCATTTTAACTGCTATCTTTTTATTTTATTGTTGATATTTCCTTGTAAATTGCCATTAGCAGCTTAAACCTATGAGCAAATGTCTCTTTCTACAACCTCTTCCAACTTATAAATACATTTTAGGAAGGGCTACAGGTCAAACAGTTTTCAGGGTCACAAGAAAGTCCTCCACACTAGGTATATATATTAACTATAACAGTATAATAACATCTTAAAGCCACCCTAATAAAACACACAACTGTGCAAAATGTAGCCTGGCAAGTGCATTTTCAATAAGCTAACCTGACCTCCAAACTATATGCGTCATTCCTGCACTTCAGCTTAAAGTGCATTAACACCTAGTTTAAAGGTTAATTGCATGGTCGAATTACTCTTATTAATATAATGCATTATCTTACTGACAGCTGCTACTTCGTTACGTTTCACCACTGAGCGTAAATAAGCAGGAAAGTACAATATAAGGCTTAATGTCACCCTAAATAAATACACAACTGTGCAAAATGTAGCCCGTCTAATGCATTTTCAATGATAGTTAGCATGAAAGCTAAACAAGCTAAAGTGGGAATAACCTGACCTCCAAACTACATGCGTCATTCCTGCAACTTAACTTAATCATATCTATTCAAAATGCATTAAAACGTTGTTGTAAAGATTGCTATTGTCTAAATACTGTTACTAATACACGGTATTGTGTTTCTGACAGACACTTAGCGGTGTTTAGCTCAGTGAAGGGCCCAGTGTCCTCCAGACCGCCATGACTTTTTACTTTATCTGAGTCAATTCGGTATTTTTGTAATGAATTACACACAGATTTTGATATAATAAGAAGTAAGAGATGCTTACAAAGCCAGCCCTTCTTGGCAGGCTGCGGGCCAGAGCCGCTGCGACGCGAACAGTCAGCATGTTGTCCTGAAGTCTGAGCCTCCGGAGAGAGAAGGATGTCGGAGAGGAGCTGCAGACTGGAGAAAGGTCACAGTGAACCGGAAGTACTTGGAATAAAAGTCCTCGTCTTTTTCTTTTTTTTAATTCACCTTTTTGTAAACATTCAGACAGAACGGTTTTATTTTTTCCGTTGTTTTATTTTGTATTCATCTATTCAATGTCATACAATACATGAACATCATATATTTTAGCTGCATGTGTGACCATTAAAGAGAGGTTCATCCCTCCAATTCTAACTATCTATCAAAAGTAGAAGTACTCAGATATTGTACCTGAGTACAAGTAGAAGTACTCAGATATTGTACTTGAGTAAAAGTAGAAGTACTCAGATCTTGTTCTTGAGTAAAAGTAGAAGTACTCAGATCTTGTACTTGAGTAAAAGTAGAAGTACTCAGATATTGTACTTGAGTAAAAGTAGAAGTACTCAGATCTTGTGCTTGAGTAAAAGTAGAAGTACTCAGATCTTGTGCTTGAGTCAAAGTAGAAGTACTCAGATCTTGTACTTGAATAAAAGTAGAAGTACTCAGATCTTGTGCTTGAGTAAAAGTAGAAGTACTCAGATCTTGTGCTTGAGTAAAAGTAGAAGTACTCAGATCTTGTACTTGAGTAAAAGTAGTAGCCTACTCAGATATTGTACCTGAGTAAAAGTAGAAGTACTCAGATCTTGTCCTTGAGTAAAAGTAGAAGTACTCAGATCTTGTACTTGAGTAAAAGTAGAAGTACTCAGATCATGTACTTGAGTAAAAGTAGAAGTACCAGAGTGTAGGAATACTCTGTTACAGTAAAAGTACTGCATTCAAAATGTTCCTCAAGTAAAAGTAGAAAAGTATTATCATCAAAATATAGTGAAAGACAGTAAAAGTAGTCGTTGTGCAGATTGGTCCATTTCAGAATAATATATATGATATGTTTTATAATGATTGATCATTAAAGTGTTCTCAAAGCTGGTAAAGGTGCAGCTAGTTTGAATGACTTTGTATTCTGCAGGGTAGCTGGTGGATTTACTCCAGGTGGAACTAAAGTCTGATTCAACACTTGGTTATATTTCACATCATTCATCCACATCTGTGAAGTAACTAAAGGGATTAAATACATGTAGTGGAGTAAAAGTACACCATTTACCTCTGAACTGTAGTGGAGTAGAAGTACACAGTAGCAAAGCATCAAATGGAAATACTCAAGTAAAGTATGTTGCAATGGAGGAGGAGCTTTGGATAGATTTACATTGCCATAATTACACAGTAGCTAGTGTACAGTGTTGTTATTATACATCCATGCAGTCACACAGTGTACACAATATGACAGAAAAGCATCTTGACTCTTGAGAAAATGAATGTCTGCAGTACCAACACTCGACCCATAGGGGCGATGTACTCTGAGTCAGGCCCGGAAGTGGCGCATGTATCTTTGTGAAGACGAACGGGAACGGCTGATGGAGACATTTTAAAATAAACACACAGCTAACGGCTAACTGCTAACAGGGCTCGCGAAGGGGCGAGCGCACTGCGCCAAAACACATTATAATCGTCCCAAGTTCTTACCAGTTATATTATATTTAGCAGTGCATTGTTTAATAAATCGTAAATCAACGAGACTACAAAACACCGAAGATGTTGAAAAGTCTGACACTGGGAACAGAAGATTATAACTAAACCGCGGTGAGTTGAAAGCTAAATGCTAACGGTTTGACTGAGATAACGTTAGCCGTTTTATCTTGCTTTCTTCGCCCCTTGGTGGCTGAGATGCAGCTTCCATTTATAGGATCTCCAGCTGCTGCCCTGCACCCTGCACCTTTCCACATGACTCTCCTTCTGGCCAAGTTCATAGAGTTTAAGGTTATGATCGAGGTTAGCTGATCCCTACGCAGCTAAAAGTAGTGTTAGCTTCAGCTAGCTCCAGATACAACCAGTGGTGTAAAGTGACAGGGGATTTACTCAAGCACTGTACTTAAGGTACGATACTGAAAGGCTTGTACTATAATCAGTGCATACTATTGTCTTATTTGTATATGCTCACACGTAGCTTTCATTGCTAAATGATAGCTTATTTTCATTGTGTGTGCTGTTCCTTAAGTTGTAGCATAAAACCTTAGTGATGCATTGTGAAAACTTAATAACAATATGTTTGATCTGAAAAGCTTCCTCATGCTGCCAGAGGTTCATTTCTATATAGTGGTGTAAAGTAACTAAGTAGATGTACTCACATACTACACTTAAGTACATTTTGAGGTACTTTCCATGTTATGCTACTGTGTACTTCTACTCCACTACAGTTCAGAGGTAAAAGGTGTACTTCTCCTCCACTACATGTATTTATACCTTTAGTTACTTCACAGATGTGGATGAATGATGTGAAATCTAATCAAGTGTTGAATCAGACTTTAGTTCCACCTGGAGTAAATCCACCAGCTACCCTGCAGAATACAAAGTCATTCAAACTAGCTGCACCTTTACCAGCTTTGAGAACACTTTCATGATCAATCATTATAAAACATATCATATATATTATTCTGAAATGGACCAATCAAACAACGACTACTTTCACTGTCGCTACTTTCACTATATTTAGATGAGAATACTTTTCTACTTTTACTTGAGGAACATTTTGAATGCAGGACTTTTACTGTGACAGAGTATTCCTACACTCTGGAACTTCTACTTTTACTCAAGTACAAGATCTGAGTACTTCTACTTTTACTCAAGAACAAGATCTGAGTACTTCTACTTTTACTCAAGAACAAGATCTGAGTACTTCTACTTTTACTCAAGTACAAGATCTGTGTACTTCTACTTTTACTCAAGTACACGATCTGAGTACTTCTACTTTTACTCAAGTACAAGATCTGAGTACTTCTACTTTTACTCAAGCACAAGATCTGAGTACTTCTGCTTTTACTCAAGTACAAGATCTGAGTACTTCTACTTTTATCCAGGTACTAGATCTGAGTACTTTAATTAGTTTAATTCAATCAATAATACATGTCTCCTCATACATGAAAGCACTGTTTGACAAGTAAAAGTAGAATAAGCCAAAAACCACTTTATATGCAAGTTTGTACTCGCTGAAAAATGTCTTGAACATGCTATGGTTGTATACCACATTTAGGGGGAGATCATGTTTCAAAGGAACATTTCATATTGTCATATTTGTGAGTTTCTACTAAATAGAATAATGCCTGAGCAGTCAGACATCCAGACTCCTTCACAGTGAATTTGAATGAATGATTTGTTTCTCCTCCAGCAGGTGAGCTCCTGTCCAGGCACATTGGTCCATGCTCGCTGGACCTCTGGGCTTTGGGCTCAACTAGCATGAAGATGGCCGACTCGGACAAGGCAGAGGATTTTGTGGATGCTGAGTCCCCCACAGAGTGCCTTGACGAAGCACAATCAACCACAGGCTCTGCCCAGGATGAGCATCTGAAGACAGAGACCACCACCAGTACCAGCTCACCCCCCAGGGAAAAGGAGGCAGACAGCCCCTTGAATACAGAGGGTGAGCTGAGTCTCCTCTCCATGCCGTGCCTGATGAAGGAGCTCCGCAGAGACTCCCCAGAGTCCCAGCACACCTCCACAGGGAGCGACAAGCCCGCATCTCTTCATATCGATGAGAGCGACTCCTCAAACCCCTGCATGATGTCCCCCTCCTCCAGCGGACACCTTGCTGACTCAGACACACTCTCCTCAGGGGAAGAAGGGGCCACTCCTTCCACAGCAAAAGACGAAGAAGGAAACATGGATACGACAAACGATGGGCAGGCGACAGGAAAGCAATCATCTTCCTCAGCGACGGGAGGGAGGAAGGCCCGGCGGTTACGTTCAGAGAGCGAGATGCCGCAGAATGCACTGGCTGCAAAGAAAAACCGCTGCCAGCCCACCGTAGTAGCTGCGGGAGGGCCGGAAAAACAAACCAATGGCAAGCTGGCCAAAGTGAAAGGTCACCGGAGCCAGAAACACAAGGAGAGGATACGTTTGCTGAGGCAGAAACGTGAGGCGGCGGCACGGAAGAAGTACAACCTGCTGCAGGACAGCAGTACGAGTGACAGCGAGCTCACGTGCGACTCCAGCACCAGCTCCTCCGAGGACGACGACGACGACACTTCAGGAGGCAGCAAGACAATCAAGACAGACCTTACAGGTAACACCCACTGTACACAACACATGCTAATAGCACAGTACCACTGAGGAAGCACAGGGTAGCTGTAGCAGCCACTCAGATATACACACTGCTCCATATAGTAACAGTCAAACATATAGCCACACATCAGAGTCACAGCTGACTGCATTATTTCAAGTGTTCAGGCAACCCGAACTGTTTCCCACTTACAACATATACTAAGAACATGTGATGAGGGCAATCAGAACAGGACAGGAACTGCTTTGTTTGTGTTGTTTATCAATCACTTTCTTTTCTTTTTTGTTATTTCCTCAATCATCATCATCACGCCTCATTCACCGTGTCTTTAAATACTAAGACAGTCACTTGTCGTTATATAATACATGTGTCAGAAGAACTGTGTCTCATCGTTTGCATGCTGTGAAGTCTAAAGGACGTTCTTCCACTCATAAACGGAGTTGGGTTAATCTAACCTATATTGCGAGCTTCGCAATTCAACAAGTGAGCCATTTATATCCTCAGCCTTCGCTGTAAATAGACAATGAAGGTGGTATGATCGCACCGTGTCAGTCTGAGCTTCTGCAGTTACTGTTGGGCATTGATAGGAACACTGTCTCATATCAGCCGGTTTAGAGATTCAACTATATTTAATGTACTGTTTTGTAATGATGCTGAAAAGTCCATTTAGTGTAGGGTGTTCCTGCAGCCGAACATCCCCGATGTCTCTCACACATGTCTGCACAGGAAGCTGCTTAGACTGGCTAACAGGTGGTTCTCCTCCTCACTTTAATGGGCTCTGTCTGCAGCACCTGCTTAGTACCAACACACACCGACAGTGTTGGTTCCCTTAGTTCATCTTGATTTTCCTGATGATTGTAGAAATCTCTTGGGTGAGTTGAGTTTTTCATAAGTAGCTTTAAGCCTGGGGGTATTTACAGACCGGCTGCTACTTCTGGTGCTTTATGCTAATCCTCTCACCGTGGTTGGGTTGGTTCTTCTTGTAGACAGCTTTCCAAAGCTTTTGTTTGATAAGTTAAGAGGTTATAGTCCAGGACTACAGAGGTATTATACATGGTGCCTATCGATGATATCAACCCCAACGCATATTTTAGTAAGAGGTTTTAGAAGACAATATATTTGGTGTCCTTGGTTTATAATTAATTGAAGTGAGTGTTTTTACCTCAAAGTCCAAACTAGGGCTGTGCAATTAATCGTATTTTAATCTCGATGTTGGCTTGCAACGATTACGGAAACAACGTAATCAAAATAAAACGATTATTGGTTTTTCAGTTGAATTATACTTAAAGTTCAGGTAATCAACTGGTTGTTTTCAATAAATGGATGTTTTCAAAGTAAATGGATAATCGTTTTTTAATAATTGTGATATCAATTATTGACCAAAATAATCGAGATTATGATTTTTGCCATAGTCGCACAGCCCTACTCCAAACCACAGTCGCCGAAACATCAGTTACCTCCCCCTCAGGGGTCCGTTCCTACATGAAATGTTTTCAACCATTTTTTTACATCTCGCACCCAAATTTGAGTGCTTCAACTGCATGATGTAGTCCATCAGCATGTCGAGTCGATCTGCACGTAACCACAACAAAAAAACTGTCATTTTCTCTTTTTTTTTTAATACAAAAGTCCACATCCGAAGCATGAAAGTGCCACTGTATTTTCTTATGGCTTGGCCTCAATGTCTTTAAAGCTGGCTTCAGACGTGCGTCGGAGAGATCCAGAGTGGGCGCCCAGATTCATGGGCTGCTGGACACCAGTTCGTGGGACAGGAACGGCATCGGCAGCGTTCTGGAGGAAGCCATGACGCGCTTTGCCGTGATGCAGCGGCAGACCGAGGAGCGCTTCAGAGTGTGGATGGAAAAGCTCTCGCACCTCGACTCGGACAACGACTCGTCCAAACGCTCCAGCGACGCCGTGGAGGGCCAGCAGCAGCGCCCGTCCCCCCCCAGCTCCTTTTTGCCATCGTCAGAGTCTTCAGAGACTATGGCTGCCTACATGTTGGCGCGAGAGAACAACAGCCTCACCTCCACCCCCATAAACAACAACAACAACACCCTACCTGAAGCGGTCACTCAGAACGGAAACCTAGCTGTTCCAGACCCCGGGATCTTGAATGTCTAAGATCTCTACACCACTCCTCGCTGTTTCACACTTTGATATTAGAGCTAGTTAATGCAGAAAGCATGGGCAATGGGTATTCATAGGTAAATGATGCGACACCATCGTCAGCGGCCGGACCCCCAGCCGGTCATTTGAACTGTGTGCAGTCCTGAAGACTCGCTGGCACTGAATCACTGTGAGATCTGACATTTATGAAAAAGAATTCAACTCACCTGTTTGATATCTGCAGCGTCCGTGACGTATCTCAATAGACTGTTTGTTTAGTCAGGGCTCTTATTCTACTGCTTATTGTATTTTTCTTTGTTGTGTACCAGCTGTACACACACACACATACACACACACACACACACACAGGTCTGGTTATGTCTTTCATACAGCACCTGTGCAGACATTAGTGCTAGGTGGGGTGCTGCTGCTAATAGCATGTGCCTTGTCGTTCTGATCTCACGCTGATGGATAGCTTCAGCATCACAGCACTGTTTCGTTAGAGGTGAACTCCAACACTGCATCAACCGGATGTTTGCACTGGTTCAGGACTTTTCACACATCTTATCTCAAGCTTTTATTTGTTGCTGGTATAGCTTTACTAGCACCAAAACATTTTAAAATCACAATATAGATTTGCCGATATACTAACAAACACAAAAATCGAAATAAGACGTAATTAGATTAGCCGTGTTTACATTTTGTAATGTTTGCCTTTCTGTTACATTTGCTGCTATCGCTGCCTCTGCGCAGTAACGAGAAACTAGTGGGGGGGTGGGACTCCCAATGTTTATTTTTAGTAGCCTATGTATAGATTATGGACTTCAGATAAGGTTCCTATGTTGCCGCTATTAGCTGCAATGTGCATCTAGTCGTTTACTATTTGCCCAGTTATTTGATTCTTCTGGTCTGCCAGCTCGCCTGCGTCTCCTCGAGGCGCCGCGTGTCCCTCATCTTGCCTTTTTCAAACCGGCATCAAACTGACAGATACACAGCAGCGATACAGCTGCAGTGAATGGTGCATGGCAATGTTTACCCATGTCCTAAAGTGACTGATCAAGTGGCCTTTGGTTCAGATCCTGTGGTCTTTGAGGCGCTCCTCCTCACTCTGCTTCGACACTGCTGCTAACACTCGCCATCTCAGACATGGATGAAGGAGTCGTTGGCTTAATCATATTTATAGTTAGGGTGTTACAAAAAGTTACATTTTCTGTATGTGTATATGTAGCCCGATGATGACGGAGCCACGGGCGTCGTTTCCCCCCTGTTAGCATGTGGTTTTATTAGCATATAGAATGTGCCAAGTTAGTTTCATCAGCATGTGAGCTAACGCTGATCCACGGTGACTGACAGCTTTAGTTGTTCTTCTCTTGGCCTTGAGGTTTTGTTTCAGATTGTGTGAATATTGGTGTTTTGTTTTAGTTCACGGTGCATTGTTACTTACATTCTGGGTTTCAAATGAATCCAACAGCTGCTGTCCTGCAACTGGAACGACCTTTAAATCAACACGAGTGCAGACGATCACAAAGTAGTGTGTGCGTTAGAAACACGAAGGACAGTCCATTGTTTACCAAAGAGGCTCTCCTGGTTTACATTCGTCCTTTTTCTATCTTTACTACACGGCCCTTCGGTACCTGCCTACCCTCTACCTTCTACCCGCTACCCTCTACCCTTCACCCTCTACCCTCTACCCTCTCCCCGCTTACCTTCTACCTTCGTACCCTTCATACCCGCTACCCTCTACCCTCTACCTTCTACTTCTCCGCTACCCTCTACCCTCTACCTTTCTACCCTCTACCCGCTACCTTTCTACCCTTCTACCCTACTACCTTCTACCTTCGTACCCTCTACCCTTCTACCTTTCATACCCTTCTACCCCTCTACCTTTCACCTTCTCCCTTCTACCTTCTACCTTCTACCCACTACCTTCTTCCCTCTCACCCTTCCCCCTCTACCCTCTACCCTCTTACCCTCTACCTTCTACCCTCTACCCGCTTACCTTCTACCTTTACCCACTACCTTCTACCGGCTACCCTCTACCCTCTACCTTCTACCCTCTACCCGTCTACTTCTAACCTTCTACCTTCTACCTTCTACCCTCTACCTTCTACCCGCTACCCTCTACCCACTACCTTCTACCCTCTACCTTCTACCTTCTACCTTCTACCCTCTACCCTCTACCTTCTACCCTCTACCCTCTACCTTCTACCTTCTACCTTCTACCCGCTACCTCTACCCGCTACCTTCTACCCGCTACCTTCTACCCGCTACCCTCTACCCGCTACCTTCTACCCTCTACCTTCTACCTTCTACCCTCTACCCGCTACCTTCTACCCTCTACCCGCTACCTTCTACCTTCTACCCGCTACCTTCTACCCGCTACCTTCTACCCGCTACCCTCTACCCGCTACCTTCTACCCGCTACCCGCTACCTTCTACCCGCTACCTTCTACCTTCTACCTTCTACCCGCTACCTTCTACCTTCTACCTTCTACCCGCTACCTTCTACCCGCTACCCTCTACCCGCTACCTTCTACCCGCTACCCTCTACCTTCTACCCTCTACCTTCTACCTTCTACCCTCTACCCGCTACCTTCTACCCTTCTACCCTCTACCCTCTACCCTTCTACCCGCTACCTTCTACTCTCTACCTTCTACCCTCTACCCTCTACCCTTCTACCTTCTACCCTCTACCCGCTACCTTCTACTCTCTACCTTCTACCTTCTACCCTCTACCCTCTACCTTCTACCTTCTACCCTCTACCCGCTACCTTCTACTCTCTACCTTCTACCTTCTACCTTCTACCTTCTACCTTCTACCCCTCTACCCGCTACCTTCTACCTTCTACCCTCTACCTTCTACCTTCTACCCTCTACCCGCTACCTTCTACCCTCTACCCGCCTACTTCAGCCCAATCATCTGTTCATAGGCCTGCAGTGTTCTGTCACAGTACATGCTGTGCAGACCACACACACACTCTCTATCACTTTCTCCCCCGCTCTCTCTCACACACACACACACACTCTCTATCACTTTCTCCCCCGCTCTCTCTCACACACACACACACACTCTCTCAGGCTGCAGCCACACGAGGACAAAAACAGCTGTTTGCGTTACTGTTTGGTGTCATATAGACCGTTCGGCCACACGAGGACGACCGCATACGGCACTAAACGACTGAGGAAACGATAACGGGTCCCAAGGTGGATAGAACGGCATACGCAACGCTCTGGGGGGTCCAACGGCTCCGTGTGTACGCCCTATACGATCATTTTCTGATAATGATGAGGCAATAGCCCCGCCTCTCCCCACCTCTGCTGCTCACCCCCTTCAGGTCAAAGTAAACTGCACACTGAACTCAGATTATTTATCTTTCTCTCGATATGGACATAAACGTGAGTGAAGTCTAATCTGACAGGACGGAGACACCTCTCAAACTACCCTAGTTATAAATATGTTTATTTTTCCTGTCGGCCGGGTCACTCATTACTGGATCAGCTGCTGCATGAGACAGACACTGGCGCTGTCCGAAGAGAGGGAGGAAAAAGAGAGGCTCCGTGTATTTTATTATTATAATATATAGATTCGTTATTCATTTGTTTTAAAGCTCAATAAATAACAAAGAAGACCTTTGACCGGCACTTTTATGATTTTGTCGGAAGGTTTAAACTTTAATACACGTTGACTGGCGAAAAACTCTGCCCGGTTCCCTCGGCCCCCACCGCGGAGAATAAACAGAAGGGCAACCATGACAACCATGCTTCTTCGCTGCTTCTGTGGAGGAAGTTACAGCGCCACGTACAGGCTCCTGCATGTACTGCAGCTTCTCCAGCGGTTGGAGCTAAACGGAGCGGTCTCGTGTGGGCAGACACTATCCGGTGAATATTGCGTGTGGACGGAAGCTTGTTTGCGTTTGCGTTAATCCTATGCGTTTAGCCGTTTTCGTCCTCGTGTGGCCGGGGTCTCACACACACTCTCTCTCACACACACTCTCTCTCTCTCACACACACTCTCTCACACACACTTTTCTCTCTCACACACACGGCGCTCTCGCACACACACGCGCCGCACACACACACACACCGCACACGCGCTCTCGCACACGCTGCGCGCGGCACACACACACAGACGGCGCTCGCCACACACTGCGCCCCCCGCTCGCTCGCTCTCTCTCCCCGGACTCGCTCGCGCTCGCAACACACACACACACACTTTCTCTCCTCTCACACACACTTGTCTCTCTCTCACACACTCTTGCGCTCTCACACGCGGCGCGCTCGCACACGCACACACGGCTCGCGCGCGCACACACACGGGCGCGCGCGCGCACACACACAGGGCGCGCGCGCGCACACACACGGGCTCGCACACACACACACACACACACACACACACGGCGCGCGCTCACGCGCCCTCGCTCGCGCACACACACACACACACACCTTTTTCGCTCGCTCTCTCTCTCACACACACACACACACTTCTCTCTCTCATCTTCCCACTCTCTCACACCACACACACACACACACACACGTTCTCTCTCTCCACACACACACCACACACACACTTTCTCTCTCTCTCTCACACACACACTGGTCTGATGACAGCAGTGTGTGTGTCTTCTTACAGGGTAGAACAGAGAGTTGTGCTCTGATTGATTATCCCTCTGCATTTCATGATCGGACTGATGGTTTTTGTAAATGGACTGTATTTTAGTGTATGTTTTTACGTGAATGGCTGTTATTTTAAAAGCAATAAATGGAGAGAAAATAAATGCTAATGTTTTTTTTTATTTACTCTTATATAAAGATTGTCTGATTCTGATTTCTTTAAAAGTCTGACCTTTCTTTGTTTCTCTTGGAACTATCATTTTAAATGCAATTAAAGTGAACCATTATATATTATAATCTATCAATAACTTGATACCATATCTGCCCCAAGTTAAAGGACTTCCTCTCAATCCAAGGACACATTCAAATAAAGTAATCCAGATGACTTGACTGCTTGTAAAATCCAAGTAAGACTGAGTTTACCCGATTGATGTCTTTATCAGTAGCAATATATCAACTTAAAGAGGCTCTATTCTGCTTTTTGGGGTATTCCTTCACCTGTAGTCATGTAAACGTGTCACAGTAGAGACACACAATACACATGTGAAAATAAGCATAACATGTCCTCTTTAAAATACAGTTATTCCACATGTTTCAAGGTTCTTCCACAAGAGGCGCTTTCACACCGGAGTACTTTTCCCGTTTAGTTCCGATAGTTCCTGGGATTTTGCGTTCACACCAAAGAGAATTTAGTTCATGAGAACTTTTCCCCCCTTTTTACTCCCTGCTCGAGAGGTGGGACTTTCCCGGGGAGAGAAAAGTACCAATTTCTGATTGGCTGGGCGAATTGCAAACCACGCCCCGTAAAACTCTGAACAGTTTTTTGAAGCCGCCATTTTATTATCCTCGCATTAGCATTATTAGCATTAGCCCCGCGCACTAACGCAGAGAGACTAACTTATGGCACCACAGAAGAAAACATGGGAGCGGTGGAGATGAGGAGGTGTCGGCGTTCTGGTGATTTACTCGGAAGGCTTCACTGGGGACTGGCTTTACTGAAGCCAGTCCCCAACTCCGGGGACTTCCGGCCGGGGACTGTAGGAGCAGACACAATAGTGGTGGCTTAAAGCCCACCTCTGCTCCGCGCCGTCCGTTAGATGAGCCTGGTCAGATTAATAAGAGAAGGAGTTTCAACCACCAGTCATAAAAGTTATAACAATAATCTGATTTTAATGGTAAAAAACACCAATACAAGTTTACAGAGTACTCCGGACTCCCAGTTCTACTGCTGTGCGATGCAGGTATCGGGACCAGCCAGTCAGAAACAGGAGGCATTTTGCATGACTACACAACAGTATATATGGATATATTTGGGGCGGAGAGCCACTTCTTATCTTCCACCGGACCCAACTCCTTTAATTTCCCAAGGAAGGTTTCACACAAACTATTCTTTTAAAACAATCAAACATTGTACACAGATATATTGGTATCAAACATTGTACACAGATATATTGGTGCTTGAGATTATATTGGCCCCAGAAAGAACCTTGAAAAGAACATGTGTGTGTGTGCTGGTGAGAGGAAGTGTATGTGTGTGTATGTGTGTGTGCTGATGTAAGGAAGTGTGTGTGTGCTGGTGAGAGGAAGTGTATGTGTGTGTGTGTGTGTGTGTGTGCTGATGTAAGGAAGTGTGTGTGTGCTGGTATCTGGGTCAATGAGTGTAGTTGTGTGTGCTGGTGAGAGGAGGTGTGTGTGTGTGTGTGTGTGCTGGTATCTGGGTCATGGAGTGTAAGTAAGAAGATTTATATATATATATAGGATTACTTTAAAACAGTCCCAAATAATACATGTTCACTTCAATACAGTTCAAGATAATACCTGTTTACTTTAATACAGTTTAGAAACAATATCTGTTGTTTTAGGACTCCGGGGCGCAGTATACGCCGTGAAGTTGTTTGCGGCCTGCCAGTAACCCAAGCAGAAGAAGAAAGAAAGTGACGTCAGGCGGCTTCATTTGCCTAATCTCCCTCAGGGAACTTATTCCGGTGTGAACGCGATCTGTACTTAGTTCATGAGAACTAAAGAGTGCTGATGAACTAAGTTCTCATGAACCTTTGTGGGAAAAGTACTGCGGTGTGAATGCGCCTAATGTCTGATTGGCTGGGCGGATTGCAAACCACGTCCCGTAAAACTCTGAAAAGTTTTTTTAAGCTGCCATTTTATTTGCTGGCATTATTAGCATTAGCATTAGCCCCGCGCACCAACGGAGAGATAATAACTTATGGCACCACAGAAGAAAACATGGGAGCGGTGGAGATGAGGAGGTGTCGGCGTTCTGGCGATTGACTCGGAAGGCTTCAGTAGAAGCTGCTGGGACTCCCAGCAGCTTCTACTGAAGCCTTCCCCAACTCCGGGGACTTCCGGCCGGGGACTCCGGGTGGCAGTATACGCCGTGAAGTGGTTTGCGGCCTGCCAGTAAACCCAAAGCAGAAGAAGAAGAAGTGACGTCAGCGGCTTCATTCGCCTAATCCTCCCTCAGGGACTTATTCCGGTGTGAACGCGATCGGCTCTGGGGGAACTAAGTGCTGGGAACTAGTACGGCAAAGTACTTGGTTTGAATTGGCATGCGTTTATGTAAATAAAAAAACACATAAGACTGACTGATGCATCTCTACTCTAAAAATATAGACGTTTTACAGCCGAACTCGTACTATCAATTTAAAGTATACCAATAATAAATGATATTTCTATACATTTGACTGCATTTGGGAAGATAGTCTTGTTTCCTTGTGTATGTGCTGCACTACAGACTAAAGTCTCTGTTCCACGCAGAGCTGCACTACAAAAGCATGATTTGAATAATAAAGTGTTCTCTTTGTTTTCTGCAGACGGGCTTCCGATAGTGGGTCACTATGATATTTCAGACACTGATTCTAACCAGGAGAGTATGAGTGTGGACACAGTGCGGCCCTCGGTGATAAAGCATGAGCTAAAAACACACTCTGGGTGTATAAGAGCCCTGTGCTCTCTCTCAGGTCAGTTACTAACCCCTGAATCCAAACTGAATATTTCCACTGCTCTCAGTGACGGCAGGGTGCGAGGCGGTGAAATGATGTTATTAATCTCCCAGCTGCTTTTAAATATTTCTATGTGCATTGGGGCTCTGCCTTGCTTCAAGACAAAATAATTGACCTTTTGTGACATGAATATAAAAGTCCACATTAATGTTCTGTCCATTGTGTCTCTCTCTACTGTTCAAACACAGTGTCGGATTCATCATTGTTGTGCTGTGTGCGTGTCAAAGGCCTGAAGCGCTCGGCCCCTCCTCACAAAGTGTGACTGTGTCCTCTTGTTTGTTTCAGGCAACGTGGAGGCAGAGCTGTCGCACAAGGGAAGTTCTCTACACCACAAGGGCCAGATTCACATCGCCTCCTCCGACAGCGAGGTGGAGATAGTCGGAGTGCAGGAGAAAGCCCGGTAAAGACTCACATAGGGGTTCTTTATTTTGTCTTTACCTGCCGTTTAAAGTCACATTTCTGAGTTTAAAGGGGACCTATGATGTCTTTTATATATCAATATGTGTCCCCGGTGCGTCGGGGAACTCACGCAGCGTCGGGAAATAGAACCCTCTCTCTTTTCCTCCGTACCCACATCTTTTAAAAACGGGTGTACAACGAGCGGATACAGATTCCATCCGAACTGACGTGTCCATCTGAGGTGATGTCGGCGGACCCTAGGGCTGCTCAATTAATCTTATTTTAATCGCGATTATGGCTTGCAACGATTACGAAAACAACATAATCGAAATAAAACGATTATTTTTTCATTATTATTATTACTTTTTGTTTTTCAGTTGAATTATATAAAAAAAAAATCTCCAATAAATGGATGTTTTCAAAGTCAATGAATAATCGCAATTAATAATCGCAATTACAATTATTGACCCAAATAATCGAGATTATGGTTTTTGCCATAATCGAGCCGCCCTAGCGGACCCACAGAAAGTTGCTATCAGAAACAATGCCTGACGTGTTTTGGACGTCTTTGTTTACATTAGCAAGCCTCGCTAACACTCAGAGCTAACCTGTACTGGAGAGCACATGTGTTTAAAAAGCAGGAAATAAAGAAAGGAACTCACCTTGTGATGAACCCGCAAGAGAAAAAGCATTTGAGCTCCATGCTGTTTCAGAAATAATCTTTGACGTGGTTTAGAACAGGATGGCGTTTTATCACAGCAGAATTTAACTTTATTTCCGGTAGAATTCTGATCAGGCATTAGCTCCGCCTCCTCTTCTTTTTATTTCAAGCTAAGGACCCAAGATCTGCGTTTCTCTAACAGGGCTTCAAAAGCGGGTTTGAGCAGAATGAGGCGTGGCTACAACGGGGGATCTGTTTGGGATTTTGAAAAAAAAACTTCACAGACATGTTTGATATAGGTATGGCCATACAATATATTTTTCAAATATAGCATGATAGGTCCACTTTAAGGTATGATAAGGATAGGTGTTGTTTTTAAAGTGTTTTATGCATGGTTATCCATTTTCCTTGTTCCTTTCTGTGGTTTTATTATTAAGTGTTAATGATTTGAATTGCCTCTGTGCTCTATAAATAACACCCGCACATTTAAATACCATTTTGAATATTTTTGCTGACCCAGTCTATACATACATTTGAAAGAAATTGCTGCATATTATAACCTTTTAAAGTCTGATGTTGTTGGCTTGAAACAAGTGAAAAAAAGGACATTTTGTTGTTTTCTGGGTTTTATGTCCCACACTAGTTCTTGTCCTGGCGCCACTCTTTGTGCTAAGCTAACATGCTAATATGGATCTCATCTACTCGTCACTCTTTATTAGAACGCAAAATAAGCGTATTTCCCAAAATGTGTTCCTTTTTAAAATCAACAGCTTTTGTTTCTGTTATTACAATAAGTACCCAAACAAGCAGAACACCGCTGGTAAACAAACACTACACAATCTGACTTAGTTTCACCGCAGCACTACCACATGTTGGAGGTGTGTTGTAGGTTGAAAGCCACAGAGAGACGCAGTTATCAGTGAATGTATGAACTTATTGTTTACATGCTTTTCCTGAGTGACTAACTTTTTAATATTTGTAACATGCTCTTGTTTGTGGATCCAGATGTGCCCACCCGTGTGGAGGCGTGATAAAGAGCCTGTCCGGCTGGAAGGAGAGCTCCGTGGAGCAGCTCATCAGCACAAACCAACCCCAGCTCTGGACTACTGTTTCCCCTCAGCCCAACTGGGTGTCCCCCCCCGAGGTGGTGGACCTCACACTGGACGAGGACGCGGGACACAAATACCTTCTTTAAAGAAGCTGCACACTGAAGACTCCTTCCTCCTCTCCTCTCCTCGTCCTCTTTGCCTTGCCTCCACGTTACGGCTGAAACCCTTCCCGTAGAATCGGCCTCGCCTCTCGTGGACTCTTCCTGCTCCGGAGTGTGTTTTTAAATCAATTGTATCAAAGCCATTCTACTGACGTGATTCCCTGATCAGCTCTGAATTTAGTCGTAATAAAAAAAATGGCACAGCATTTCATGTGCAGGTGGAAATGTGAGTAAGATGTATCTGTTAATGATATCAATATCCTACCTTCATTTATACCTCAGTTACCCCTCCGTGTAGGCTGTCTCTTGGTGTTGTGTGCTTGCAATCTGTGTCGAGAACACATCCAGTTGCTGCTTGAGGTCATGATCACAACATGGCGGCTTCACTACGGACTCTGGAAGGCACATTTTCAGATTTGGCCTTTTGTACCTAAACGGCAGCTGGTACACTTTTCTTTTGGTCGCACCACAAAGTCGGCTTTGTACCGATTTCTAAGGGTCAATTTTCAAAAGTCTCACCACTGGTTTCACATGTTGTTCAAACTGCATGGCTTCACATCCAGGTTTAGGTTATCTTCAATCATTGTTTATCATTTTGGGAAATATTCTTATTCACTTCGTGTTGAGATACAGTGAGCTTCTTGAACAGCAACATATGTCTCGATAAAGCCCTGATGCATTATACAATGTGTAGTCTCTGTGCATGTGCTGTGACCGATGTCAAGACAATTCAATAAATCATTGAAGTGGAGGATAGTTGTAAAAGTGGCTGCCAATGTTGCCCAAAGAATCCTCCCAGCAGCACTTTCAAAGCTCAATAACTAACACGTTGTTGGCTTGAAACAAGTGTACAAAGAGTTGAATGTGCCGCACTAGTTATGGTCCTGTCTCCACTCTTTGTGCTAAGCTAAGCTAATACGGATCGCTCATCTAGTCGTCAAAATAAGCGTATTTCCCAAAATGTGTTCCTTTTTGAAATCCACAGCTTTTGTTTCTGTTATTACAATAAGTACGTTTTTTACCAAACAAGCAGAAAGAAAACCGCTGGTAAACAAACACTACGCCATCTGACTTAGTTTCAGCATGTTGGAGGTGTGTTGGCGATATACATCTAGTACTAGGTTGAAAGCCACAGAGTTATCAGTGAATGTATGAACTTATTGTTTGCATGCTTTCCCTGAGTGGATGCAACCTCCTTGAATCTCTGGGACCCTTTACAAACAACTGAAGAAATGTATCTTCCATTGAATACTGCAAAGCAAGATGGCTGCCTGAATGCCTTGAAAAGTGCACTATTTTTCTTTGAGAAAAGCTACCTTAAAAAGCAGCGGATCTCAACAATAAATATTTTAATAATAGATGTGAATTTTAGCACACACACAAAGTAGTATACGACGTGGTGTTGAGTTTGTAGCCACGTGTGAGGCGTTTATAGAAAGAGTTTTTATGTATGAACCGTTTCGACCCTGATCCTCGGGGCCTGCCTGCTCTCTCCTGTGGTCTTATCTCTGTCCGTTTCTCAATGTCCAGTACACCTGCTGCAGAGCCACTTAGTTCAAGTATACCACGTCATCGAGTGGCGCCGAATGCTGGGCATTAAACGTGCATTTAAACAGTCCTTCGGCGCAACTCGATGTCTACTTTGAAACAGTGGCTCTGCAGCAGGTTTACTCGACATTGAGAAACGGCCTCTGTCTTCATGCGGTCACGCTGGTCTTTTATCTTACAAACAATCAAACTGTTGAAACGCTTGGGATTGACTTTGTCAGATTGAATAACGTCTACTTTCCTAAAAGACATGTTAAGAGAGTTGAAGAATCAAATGATTTGACTTCTGCTGGTCACAGAAGGGAAGGGAATATATAACAAGCCAAAGTCTAAATGGAATCAATGTTTTGTCTTATTTCTGAATTTGAAATTTGCTTCCATATTATTTTTTTTATTTGCTCTGTAGGTCTAAATTTAATGTGAATTGAAATCTGTTTCAAAGTCAAGATACAGTTTAGTGTCATGTGATTTTTCTTTTTGCTTGGCCAGTCATTTCCACTAAATGCAGCTTCTGACAATTCTTCAACCACACTTTTCAAAAACACAGTTCTATTGTTCCTAAAGGTTATTTTCAAATGTTCTTGGATGTCTTTTGTGATGGTTTGGTTGCACATAGCATGTTGGTCACATCTCACCTCAAGTCCGATATTATCCTCATTACCAGTCATTTAGCTTTGCTCTTCAGTTCTGTTTTTATGTTACTGTCAGTATTTTAAATTAACAAAAAAAAGGTGTGTTATTTGTTGCTTCTTTGCAAGTCCCCGACTTCCTTGAAAGTGTGTCTGTAGAACACAAAAGAACTATTTTAAAACTAAATAAATAGAGCGTTATTTAATGAGTCTTGTTGTACGGCAATTTTTTGATTCCTGTCTCTAGGAAAACAACTGGTTCAGGTCTCATGTGCAGTGGAATGTGGTTTTCCCTCTCCTGTAGTGTGTTTTGTTCTGTAGGTTTGAGTTGCATGTGCAATGGTCTGCAAGAGGCTAACATCTCAAAGTTCCCACCAGAGGGGTATATCGTATGTAGTGTCTCTACTTTAAAGAGTCCTCTGCTGCTGATGTTCAGGTCTGTATATCAGTATGTAGTTGTCACTTACTTTACAAGAGTCCTCTCCTGCTTGATGTTCAGGTGCTATCTCAGTATCTAGTGTCTCTACTTTAAAGTCCTCTCCTGCTGATGTCCCAGGTGTATATCAGTATGTAGTGTCTCTACTTTAAAGAGTCCTCTCCTGCTGATGTTCAGGTGTATATCAGTTATGTAGTGTCTCTACTTTAAAGAGTCCTCTCCTGCTGATGTTCAGGTGTATATCAGTATGTAGTGTCTCTACTTTAAAGAGTCCTCTCCTGCTGATGTTCAGGTGTATATCAGTATGTAGTGTCTCTACTTTTAAAGAGTCCTCTCCTGCTGATGTTCAGGTGTATATCAGTATGTAGTGGTCTCTACTTTAAAGAGTGCTCTCCTTGATGATGTTCAGGTGTATATCAGTATGTAGTGTCTCTACTTTAAAGAGTCCTCTCCCTGCTGATGTCCAGGGGGTATATCAGTATGTAGTGTCTCTACTTTAAGAGTCCTCTCCTGCTGATGTCCAGGTGTATATCAGTATGTAGTGTCTCTACTTTAAAGAGTCCTCTCCTGCTGATGTGCAGGTGTATATCAGTATGTAGTGTCTCTACTTTAAAGGAGTCCTCTCCTGCTGATGTTCAGGTGTATATCAGTATGTAGTGTCTCTACTTTAAAGAGTCCTCTCCTGCTGATGTTCAGGTTATATCAGTATGTAGTGTCTCTACTTTAAAGAGTCATCACCTGCTGATGTTCAGGTGTATTCAGTATGTAGTGTCTTCTACTTTAAAGAGTCCTCTCCTGCTGATGTTCAGGTGTATATCAGTATGTAGTGTCTCTACTTTAAAGAGTCCTCTGCTGCTGATGGTTCAGGTTGTATATCAGTATGTAGTGTCTCTACTTTAAAGAGTCCTCTCCTGCTGATGTTCAGGTGTATATCAGTATGTAGTGTCTCTACTTTAAAGAGTCCTCTCCTGCTGATGTTCAGGTGTATATCAGTATGTAGTGTCTCTACTTTAAAGAGTCCTCTCCTGCTGATGTTCAGGTGTATATCAGTATGTAGTGTCTCTACTTTAAAGAGTCCTCACCTGCTGATGTTCAGGTGTATATCAATATGTAGTGTCTCTACTTTAAAGAGTCCTCTCCTGCTGATGTTCAGGTGTATATCAGTATGTAGTGTCTCTACTTTAAAGAGTCCTCTCCTGCTGATGTTCAGGTGCTATATCAGTATGTAGTGTCTCTACTTTTAAAGAGTCCTCTCCTGCTGATGTTCAGGTGTATATCAGTATGTAGTGTCTCTACTTTAAAGAGTCCTCTCCTGCTGAGGTTCAGGTGTATATCAGTATTTAGTGGTCTCTACTTTAAAGAGTCCTCTCCTGCTGATTGTGCAGGTTGTATATCAGTATGTAGTGTCCTCTACTGAAAGAGTCCTCTCCGGCTGATGTTCAGGTGTATATCAGTATGTAGTGTCTCTACTTTAAAGAGTCCTCTCCTGCTGATGTTCAGGTGTATATCAGTATGTAGTGCCTCTACTTTAAAGAGTCCTCTCCTGCTGATGTTCAGGTGTATATCAGTGTGTAGTGTCTCTACTTTAAAGAGTCCTCTCCTGCTTGATGTTTCAGGTGTATATCTGTATGTAGTCTGTCTCTACTTTAAAGAGTCCTCTCCTGCTGATGTTCAGGTGTATATCAGTATGTAGTGTCTCTACTTTAAGAGTCCTCTCCTGCTGATGTTCAGGTGTATATCAGTATGTAGTGTCTCTACTTTAAAAGAGTCCTCTCCTGCTGATGTTCAGGTGTATATCAGTATGTAGTGTCTCTACTTTAAAGAGTCCTCTCCTGCTGATGTTCAGGTGTATATCAGTATGTAGTGTCTCTACTTTAAAGAGTCCTCATCCTGCTGATGTTCAGGTGTATATCAATATGTAGTGTCTCTACTTTAAAGAGTCCTCTCCTGCTGATGTTCAGGTGTATATCAGTATGTAGTGTCTCTACTTTAAAGAGTCCTCTCCTGCTGATGTTCAGGTGTATATCAGTATGTAGTGTCTCTACTTTAAAGAGTCCTCTCCTGCTGATGTTCAGGTGTATATCAGTATGTAGTGTCTCTACTTTAAAGAGTCCTCTCCTGCTGATGTTCAGGTTGTATATCAGTATGTAGTGTCTCTACTTTAAAGAGTCCTCTCCTGCTGATGTTCAGGTGTATATCAGTATGTAGTGTCTCTACTTTAAAGAGTCCTCTCCTGCTGATGTTGCAGGTGTATATCAGTATGTAGTGTCTCTACTTTAAAGAGTCCTCTCCTGCTGATGTTCAGGTGTATATCAGTATGTAGTGTCTCTACTTTAAAGAGTCCTCTCCTGCTGATGTTCAGGTGTATATCAGTATGTAGTGTCTCTACTTTAAAGAGTCCCTCTCCTGCTGATGTTCAGGTGTATATCAGTGTGTAGTGTCTCTACTTTAAAGAGTCCTCTCCTGCTGATGTTCAGGTGTATATCTGTATGTAGTGTCTCTACTTTAAAGAGTCCTCTCCTGCTGATGTTCAGGTGTATATCAGTATTGTAGTGTCTCTACTTAAAGAGTCCTCTCCTGCTGATGTTCAGGTGTATATCAGTATGTAGTGTCTCTACTTTAAAGAGTCCTCTCCTGCTGATGTCAGGTGTATATCAGTATGTAGTGTCTCTACTTTAAAGAGTCCTCTCCTGCTGATGTTCAGGTGTTTTTCTGTATGTAGTGTCTCTACTTTAAAGAGTCCTCTCCTGCTGATGTCGGTGTATATCAGTGTGTAGTGTATCTACTTTAAAGAGTCCTCCCTGCTGATGTTCAGGTGTATATCAGTATGTAGTGTCTCTACTTTAAAGAGTGCTCTCCTGCTGATGTTCAGGTGTATATCAGTATGTAGTGTCTCTAACTTTAAAGAGTCCTCTCCTGCTGATGTTCAGGTGTATATCAGTATGTAGTGTCTCTACTTTAAAGAGTCCTCTCCTGCTGATGTTCAGGTGTATATCAGTATGTAGTGTCTCTACTTTAAAGAGTCCTCTCCTGCTGATGTTCAGGTGTATATAAGTGTGTAGTGTCTCTACTTTAAAGAGTCCTCTCCTGCTGATGTTCAGGTGTATATCTGTATGTAGTGTCTCTACTTTAAAGAGTCCTCTCCTGCTGATGTTCAGTGTATATCAGTATGTAGTGTCTCTACTTAAAGAGTCCTCTCCTGCTGATGTTCAGGTGTATATCAGTATGTAGTGTCTCTACTTTAAAGAGTCCTCTCCTGCTGATGTTCAGGTGTATATCAGTATGTAGTGTCTCTACTTTAAAGAGTCCTCTCCTGCTGATGTTCAGGTGTATATCAGTATGTAGTGTCTTCTACTTTAAAGAGTCCTCTCCTGCTGATGTTCAGGTGTATATCAGTATGTAGTGTCTCTACTTTAAAGAGTCCTCTCCTGCTGATGTTCAGGTGTATATCAGTGTGTAGTGTCTCTACTTTAAAGAGTCCTCCCCTGCTGATGTTCAGGTGTATATCAGTATGTAGTGTCTCTACTTTAAAGAGTCCTCTCCTGCTGATGTTCAGGTGTATATCAGTATGTAGTGTCTCTACTTTAAAGAGTCCTCTCCTGCTGATGTTCAGGTGTATATCAGTATGTAGTGTCTCTACTTTAAAGAGTCCTCTCCTGCTGATGTTCAGGTGTATATCAGTATGTAGTGTCTCTACTTTAAAGAGTCCTCTCCTGCTGATGTCAGGTGTATATCAGTATGTAGTGTCTCTACTTTAAAGAGTCCTCTCCTGCTGATGTTCAGGTGTATATCAGTATGTAGTGTCTCTACTTAAAGAGTCCTCTCCTGCTGATGTTCAGGTGTATATCAGTATGTAGTGTCTCTACTTTAAAGAGTCCTCTCCTGCTGATGTCCAGGTGTATATCAGTGTGTAGTGTCTCTACTTTAAAGAGTCCTCTTTAAATCATAATTATGGCAGCCCATTGATATCGAAAGTGTAGTTTATTTGTGTATAGTGTCGTGGACAGTCCATTGATTAACTGTCACAAAAAACAGTAAATGGAGCAGCTTTAGTTCATTTCCAGATGATAAAAGACACCTTTTAAAATCACAATACATCAACAGCATTAGTTGAAAGTACTGCCTATAGAGAGGTGAAGTCCCGCCCATCTACTTCCGCCCCATGGGACCTTATTTCGGATAAATTATGTATTGAAGTCAATGGGGAGAGAAAGATTATCTTTCCATCCCGTTTAAATTGTGCCACGAATTAATTTGTCAATCTTAACAAATCATTTCCGTGTCAAAAAAGTCACAGTTTGTGGTAAAACTGTTGAAATATAAGACTATGAAAAATACGCAACTAGAAAGACTACAAATCCCAGAGTCCCGGTCCCGCATGCTGGCTCTTAGGAACCGACTAACTCCCCTTGTGTGTATGTGCAGCTCTCAACGCGCCCAGACTTGGAGTGAAATGTTCCAACGTGACGGCCGTCTTGGTGTGTGGAGCGAGACGTGAGATGTAGTTCATTGAGCGGTTCACACAAACAAAGTGTTACTTCACAGTTTTACGAGACATTTTAATTTTCTTGACTTTCAAAATTATCTTTTAAATTGACAAACATCATATGTGTAATTCGTGGCACAATTCAAACGGGATCGAAAGATAGCTTTTCTCTCTCCATTGACTTCAATACATACTTTTTCAGAAATAAGGTCCCATGGAGGAAAGGGAGGGACTTCGCTTTTCTATTAAAAACTGTTATTCGCCCATAGTGAGTTCTGTGTGTAGGAGTGAGAGTAAGCGCCACCATAGGTACACAACATAATGACACGTCTCATTGTGGTCTTTCATCCTGTAGACAAACAGTCTAGACAACAGCCTCGTTGTGAACAATACAGCTTCACCCTCACCCACAGAGGTGCCATGAGGGGTCAGAGGTCAAATTGTGACACCTGCCGCTAGGGGGACATATGGAGCTCACAGAGGGAGGACAATGAGGGGGAGTGAGCTATGCAGAGAGAGAGGAAGGGGCTCCTGAAACCAAAGCCCTTCAGCCGGCTCTTTTCACCCCTCAGGGCAGAACATCAGCTGTATGCTAATTTTCTACAGGCCAGTGGTGTCCTCACAGAGCAGAGAGTGTGCTCATGAGAGACATAATAAGTGTCTCGCAGATGTCTTTTTAGTCTAAGAGATGCAGCTTGAGCTTCTGTGTTGTACCACTGCTGCTGCGGGTTTATTCAAAGTGACAGCTCGCTTGTTAATGACCACCAGAGGGCTTTACACACAACACTCAAACGGCATGACTAATTCTAATCACCAGAGAGAAAAGTATAACGTTTTACACGCATGCTGGGCTAAAGAAATGTTAAAAGTGCAGCTGGGCTCTCACCAACTTTACTCTCTCATGGACTGTGATCAATTCTGCCAAAGTAAAAGTTAGTAAGATGTTTAGATCTGAACTAATTCATACATTTATGGACAGACCAATTATCAGCAACTTTTTTAATGCATTAATTACTCCTTAGTCATTTTCAATCAAATATAGTGTGAAAAAGCAGAATATTCTAAAATTTCAGCTGAAAAATGACATGATTGTTGCATTTCTAAAAGGGTTGCATTGAGGTAGAAGACAATGTGACAATGTGTTTTTTTTTAAAACAGTTTCAAACGTTGCCGGGCTACTGTTTTCATGTTATGCAGTAGATGTGTTAGTGTTAGTTTGGACAGTACCTGTTATGTGTAAGTGAAGGACACTGATTGCACTGTGAGGAGCTCTTTGTGTGTCTCCAGGCTTAAAGCATTAGATGGTGGGGAACAGGAAGACGTGGGACATATGGGACGAAGAGTTTTTGACCCCCCCCCCCAGCCTCCCAAAGCCCATCTGTTCCTCCCCCTCAGGCTCAACACTACAGGCAGGGAGGATACCAGGACACACACACTTTCAGAGCATATCTGCTGTACAGGAAATGGCTTATCGTGATGTTTTTCAAAAGGAAATATAATGATATTTATTGTCATTATTATTTTATATTTTCTGAATTTAAATAAAAAATAGAGATAATACTGATATTTAAAAAATTTAAAGACAATAATAATAATATATTTTAATGTATTTCATATTTTCTTTAATTAATTACATTGTGAGTACCTTACATTAATTGTTGTGCTGGTGGATTCAGTCATGGAGGGGGGCGGGCTATCTTAAAACACAGACGCCCCGCCCCTGCGCTCCTCCCATTGGTGGAACGCAGACACCCCGCCCCTGCGCTCCTCTCATTGGTGGAGCCGGCTTGCCAGTCCGCGGAGGGTCCTGATCGGGGGGGGCGTCCGGTTGATTGGTTGCCGGGATTGGTGTGTGCTTGCTGGGTTAGCCTGTCCGTTGTGAAAGTGCTGGAGGACTGGATCATCATTTCCATGGACCATCTGTCTCTGCCCACACAACAAAGAAGGACCCAGGATGGTGTTAGTTCATGTTGGATATCTGGTTCTCCCCGTCTTCGGCCTCAGTTAGAAATAGAGGTATGACTAGATTTATATATATTTGTCTCTTATCCTAACCCTAACAAACGTTCTCGGCTTTTCCTTCTTCTTTTTTTAAATGTCCTTTTTAAATGACGTAAACAGATCTGACACCTGCTAGCCAGCATTAATAGCAACACTAGCTGCTAACTGTAAGCGTAGCGTTAACAAAAATAACCGTTAAAAACCGTTACATTTGACCAAATACGAAATTTAAGAGGCATAAATGTGTATTTTTTTACAATATTTCACGACATGTTAACGACCAAAGCTGCTGTCAATGGCAGCCCCTCTTTCTTCTGTTATCCGGCTGGTTTATCTTTCACTGCGCGGTGTTTACGTGTTTATTACACGATGCTGACACCTGCTAGCAAACGCCAGCATTATAGCAACATTAGCTGCTAACTCTAGCGGTTGCGTTTAAAAAAATAGCCGTTAAAAACCGTAACCGTGTTTAGTTAGCTTAACCTGAAAACATGTACTCTCCCGTCTAAGGGGCATAGATGATTATTGTTACGATGTTTCATGGCATGTTGAGGACCCAAATTGACTGCAGCTGTCAAATGGCAGCCCCCCTTTCTTCTGGTTTATCTCTCAGGTGTTTTTTGTTTCAGTCACCAAAAGCTAACAGAATAATAGCTTCACATATAGCCACATTTATTAGCTCTGCTGTAGCAACAAATAATACCCTTAGCTCGGCGTGGATTTGTCATTAATTTAAACAATATCTGAAGCTGATAACATGACAAGGGATGTTTGTCCCTTGTGTGCATGGACTGGCATGGAGTCTGTGCTCATTCTATCCGTCTCAATTAGGGGTTATTTCATTCAAAACATGTAGGGAAAAAAGCCCAGATGAAAGGCTATTTTAAATTATATAAAATGGTGGGCATTATGCGTTCATAAAAAAATAAATAATAAAGCCTGCAAAATGACTGCAGGTGTACAAATAAATAATCACACTCTGAATTGGACCACAAATAATCATCCTACATTGCAGCAGGCTATTCTGTGTTGATTATATAATACATAATAATAGTGGTAATTCTAAGTTGCATTGTTAAAACTACATGCAGTAGCACCAATGATTTCATTGTGCTTTTATTTGTGTTCTTGTTTCCTGTTCCATAGTATCGAGGCTGGCTCTACATTCCGCATTTCTCAGAGCTTTGTCCCCCTCCATTGTGTAGCTAACGATCATCTGCTGCTGTCTGCCGTAGCCTCTGCCTGTTCTCTGCATCTAGCTGTATTGTGAACCCCTTCTTCCTCATTTCCTCTTTCCATCTGAAGACGACATTTGGCATTAAAACCGAGTTCCCACTCATACCGTATCCTTCTGTGTAACAGACTAAAGAATAACACCTTCTGTAGAAACAGTTTGTCTTTATTTAAACCTGTCATGTTGCTCTTCAGTGAATAACCCATTGTAGCATTAGCCTTTACTCCAACAAACTGTCATTGTGATTCTCCCATTCAGTGTGGATAGACTACATTCTGCTGTAAATGTCTGTAAAGTGGATACATTTTGATCCTCCCCGATTCCATTACAGCCAGGATGATGAAATCCCCTTAGGTGCATTGTACCAGCTTTTGTAATCTTTAAATCCCATTATCCTAACAATCACCAATTGACCAAAACCCGTAGTGCTAAAATCACAGCGATGTGTGTGATGTTATTCTCACCTTTGGATATGGCCCACTGCACCTGTTCTAGTGGGCATCAACCCTCCCATGTGTGAAAGCCTTTGTTCCTGCTCGGTTCATTGATTTCAGTCACAATAATCTCGGCGAGACTAACTCATCTTGCCATTTAAAAAGAAAAGACTCCCCCCACTGCCATTCAGTCTCTCCTCCAGAATGCTATCCATGTGACAGGGATGTGTATATCCTGCACTGCTGTAGAACTCCTTTTAGAATGAAAATGTCTTTTTATTCTTTGGTTGTGGTTTTTTCTACCTTGTATTAGATCCTAATGCATGTTCATTTCTTTATACTTTTGTTTTTCCACATTGAACAGCAGATTCCAATGTAAACGTTGTGTAGAGATGTCCCTGCTATACTGAACTGTGCTGTAAGCATACACATCTACTCATTGAATGCTGCTTCTGTTCTGTTAACCCTACAGAGAGCATGGTCGGGGGCCTTGCCTTTGGTCTTTATTTGCATGATATTATTATGGTTATAAAGGAAATATTACTCTTATTATCACACAGTGCCACACTTACTAATATTTCCCAATAAAGACTGTAGTTTTCTTTCTAACCTTCAGTGTGCTTTTTGCTGATTTCCATGTGTGCCTCCTCCCCCCCCCCCCCCCCTTCCACACTGTGCTGTCACTGAGACGGCCCCTCACTCTCTATGTGCTCTCATTTCGAGTTTCTTCTTCAACTTACTGCTCTGGTTGGCAACCAAGTTTTCTATCCATTCTCAAAACAAAACGCAACCAAAACCAAACGCATGTTGTTACTGAAACACAACCGGCTTTGATATTTAATGTTACACGCTGTCATTCCCTCCTAATCCATACACTTGTTTATAAACGAGACACGGCCTCCTCACATCCTCTCATTGGTGTTCACTGGTGATCAGATAACATTGGAACTACTTTGGCCGATATGGATCAAATCCTCTTTCTGGGTAATATCATTTTATATATGGTCACATATTCCATTTTCTTCAACAACAAAACAATGAACTACTAATGTATATTTTTGGCTAAGATATGCAAAAATCATCTCAAAATGTAATATTGATAATATGGACATTACAACAGTGAATGTTCTCACGGTATGTATCATAGGGCTGTCTGTTTTTTACATTGTGTTAAGTATTTTATGACGTCTTTACCCTAAAAAAGAAACCCTTGAAATGTGTCCTACAGAGATCTGAGAAATAGTGTCCCCTCATCAGTGCTTGCCTCTTCAACAAACATTGTTCTTGAAAGCATAAACTCTAACAATATGAATTGAAGCAGACGCATCATTGGATACATCTATGATGTGTTTGGACTTGGATCAAATGAGGAAACCCTAACCCTATACAACTAGTATTATGGAAAGCCTAATCTTTATCTGTTATAATGCAGAAATACCGTCTTTAAGGGAATAAATAAACATGCATTTACAAGTCAATAAAGCTTTTAAAACTGGTTTGATACAGCCCTAATATATATTACATTACATTGCATTTAGTCTGACGCTTTTATCCAAAGCGACTTACAATAAGTGCATTTCGACCAGGAAGACACAACCTTGAAGAAAACAGAATCATAAAGTACATCACGGTTTCATAGAGCCAAAACATTTCAAGTGCTACTCAACTGGCTTTAGGTAGCCAGTCCTTTATAGTATAAAAGTGCTTCGTTAATAGTTCTATCGCTTGAATATATCATGATAAAATACTTACAGGAATCTCTCCTTATTTCATACAAACTAAGGTCTGGGTACATTTTGTGTGAAGGTTGCACAAGTCTGTTGTTATTGATGTATTATTTAGTGAAATCCTCTTCTGCCAGTTAGCTATATTATCAGATCAATACCTCCCTCATGTCCTTAGCTTAGCTTAGCTTAGCTTAGCACAAACGACGGAAACGGGAAGTACAAAGGCGTGCTAGGCTCTGTAGAACAATAACAGAAGATCAACCTACTCTAACGCTCACTAATGACATGTCTCTTTGTTTGTTTGTGCCCGGCTATTTCCTAGAGAGAAATAGTCTCCAAGAAACAGTCATCCCATCATTCTGGTATGGATTCAACAACATTGAGTGGTATCGATGTTCTCATAAAACTCTCCCCCTTTAATATCCAACTACCGATGGATTGGGAGTCTCCAAATGTTTAGCATAATGACAAATCCATTTGGTTAAATGAACAAATGGCAACTATTTAATCTGGAGTGTTATGTCTGTGACGTTGTGAATCCCTCTCATCCTTTCCGGTGAGAAGCAGACCTCGAGACTTACTCCAATGTAATCAAAGGAAAAAAGCACTTCTTCCAGCAGCAAGTCGGTCATATCATTCAAATAAACGCTCCTTGTTGTTCTTGAATAACGTAGGGATGTCTTTGCACGTCCTGACCTAAAGATGCTTGTCTTACCCTTTAAGGTTATTTAACATGCTCTTGGTCTCAGTTTAAACGATGCACTAAAAGTCTTGTCCTCTTCTAGCTATGTCAGCCTTACATCTGTTCACAGCGACTGAAATAGAGCCAGTTATTTATGTGCAGACGCTAGCTGTGTCTGAGATGTGTGTGCTTGGCAACTTTCTCCTCTGCAGCGACAGACTTTGAAATAACTCAACAGCTGTACATGCATGAGTTTCTCCCCGGTAGCTGCCCTGCTCCAGGCACATCAACACGAGACACACACACTGTCCTGATGTGACTGGTGTTTAGCATCAAGGTCAGAGCGTTGTGTGTGTGTGAGCACGTGGAGACATTTGTATGCAGATTCTCAGAGCAGCTGTGCAACATGCACGCGGATTTGACTCCTGGTTGATTTAATGAAGGCTTTTCAATGTAGATTCGTAGCTACAGAGTGTCGATAAGTCAATGGAAATCTGAGGTCACAGGCTCCTCCAACAGAGCAACACAATAGTGCAAGTAAATAGAATAGTCTATATACAAGTCATTGGAATATTGATATAAGTTGCAAACAGATGGATGTTCTTTTGAGAGTGATATCACCTGATTTAATGAGGGCTTTTCAATGTTAATCTGCACGCACAAGGCTCACAGTGTCACATGATAGAAGACCACCGCACCACGCAGAAGAGAGGATTATTTTAGGGGGGAGGTGAGATCGTAAAGCTGCAGAGATGGGAGCAGGAGGGGGGGAGACAGGTTTGATGTCAGACTGCTGCAGTCGCGGATGGGCGGGGCTTACGGGCTGTCACTCAAACAGGGACGCCATGCCGCAGCCACACTGTGGGGGAGGGGCTGTGAGTGAGGAGAGGTGTGTGGGGGGTCTGTTCTGCAGCTATCAGGCATTCTGTCTGCAAGTCAACCCACAGATGAAACAATAACAACACTGCATATGTCAGAATGTCCTGCTGTGAGAGGGGAGAGATACTCTAATGGTTACTGAACCCTCCTGTTGTCTTTGGGTCACATTTGACCCGTCTATAAATGTTTTAATAATAATAATACATTACATTTATGTAGCGCTTTTCCTGGTGCTCAAAGCGCGTTACAAGCAAGTAAAATAACAACAAAAGTAAAAAGTGCTAAACTAGGTGGAATAAGCGCGAGTGGATTAGGAGTTTTTATGTCAGAGAAATAGGTTTTTTAATCTAATGCTTGAATGTTCTTTACGAGAAAAATGTATGATCACTATTTGCATTGAATTATGGCAGTGTTACGTATATCAAAATACACTCCTTACTAAACGTTGACATATACCAGTGATAGTTCTGATATTAACTAAAGTCAAACAATGATGGGGTTATGATACTATAGGCTTATACGCAGAGTCCAAACCAGGACCCGAGTTGCACAATTGGAGAAAGACAAACACAAAGGTTAAAGCTTCACTCTTACCCGGGTCAGAGGCTTCTTACAACGTTCATGTCCAGCCGCAGCCAATCCAGAGGAGAGCGTTCTGCTGCCATTTCTGCTCTACTTCCTCAGACTAATGTTTGTTGCTCAGCGGCTCTCAGGGTCACTGGCAACGTGTCCTCCTCAGGGCTGTGAGCAAGGCACAGAGTAACATGTCATATTAACAATAATGAAAGGAGCCGCTTGACATTTTGGGAAGGAAACATGCCTTCTGGTGGAGAGTCAGAAAGAAGATTAATACCCCGATGTCAAGGTTTCAAGGCTGTTATTGTCATATAGCTACAGTATAGATGAGTCAATGACATTGAGGTCACAGGCTCCTCCAACAGAGCAACACTAAAACAGATACAATAGTGCAAGTAAATCAAATATAATAGAAACTGCCATTTGTCTGTTAGATAAAAGGCGGTTAGCTTAGCACAAAGAATAGAAAAGGAGGGAAGCGGCTAGCATGGCTCGGTTTGAAGGTCACCAAACGTTAGCCCTTTCACGTTTTTAAAGATCAGTCATTTACAAGAATATCTTTTATTTTCTTATTGCATATAAAACCTAACATTCCCAGACTTTATGGGATGGGAACAGTAACTTCCCACAGTCACAAAACTAAGAATTCTCCACAACAGGCTTCATAAAACTACAAAATGGCGGGTGTTTTTTTCAACACATTGAAGAAAGCAAAAATACATTGTTATGTAGTGATTTTAAAGATCTTTGGTCAGAGCAACTGTTTATTTTCCCACTTAAAAGCTAAGCTACGCTAACAGGCTGGAGCCTTATAGCAGATTATAAAGTGTATTGATCCTCTGCTCTTACTCTCAGAGGGAGAAATCATTTCCTAAAGGTTGTATTTATCCTTTGAATAAACGTGAAGGGCACTCAGAGGGCGCAGACATTCAACGAGAAGAAATGAGGATGAATAATGCATCACCCGAAACAGCTCAAGCTACATCCGTTCAAAAGGTTTAATGAAAACAGAAAGACGAAAACTAATTTCATGAGTGGAAAAACAAAAAAGAAATATACAAATAAGGATTATAAAAAATTGTATGACGTTAAAATGTGTGTTAATTAGAGTTGGGTTCAATATATCAACGAAGCATTAATCCTCTCTTCATATTAGACATTCACTGTCATTCCATTTAACAAGTGCAGCTCTAATCGGCCTGACTCAGCAATGCAGACAATTATCTCCTCCCATAATGCAAAGCTCAATACTCCACCAGTACTTCATTATCCACAGTCCATTAGGGCTGACACTCACTATTACTTTCAGTTTCCATCCTTTGTTTGCTTTTTAAAACATCAGAAAATAGTGAATCATCTCGTTTTGTCAGCCAAACACTTTATAACACAGGAAAGCAGGATATCTCCATCTTTGAGAGTCTGAAAACTGCTTTTTGTTGCTTGCACAGAAAAAGACTTTGACACTCAATCAATGATCAATATAATAATATATAAGTGACTAATGATCCACCCTCAGACCCTGCCGTCTGCTAAAAAGCTTCGATAGGCAGCTGAGTCGTTCCAGACTCTTTTCTCTCAGCTCGGATTAATTCGTATCGATTGTTTTGTGTAACTTGATACTCCGTTGATTCAGAGGCACACAGACTCTGATAGGAAGGAAGAGAGATGGAGGCGGATAATCATCTGCTGGGTTTTAATGAGGAATCTATGGCTGCTCCTTCAAAACAGCAGACATGAAACGGAGATGAAATCGATTACATTGATTAGCCAGAGGAACCAAAAGTCAACCCTCGGTGCCGTAGATCTCTCCGGAAACACTCCAGGCTGTTTAGAGGAGATCCATCCTTCCTGCAGGCGGTGGGGGTGCAATCTGTGAAGGGTTGAGATGGCGCTCCACGGGGGGTCTCTGCATGTCTGTGTCCTCCATCTGCCGTCTGTCTCTTCCTGTGTCCTATTTTTATTCAATACAAAGATTCAAAGGTTTAATTGTCACATGCACAAAGTACAGAGTAGAAATGGCAATGACATTCTTCTGACCTGAGCCCCTCCAACAATGCAACATATATAATAAAATACAAAATAAAAAGACTATATACATCTCAATAGAATATGAAATTAAATAATGTAAATTAAGACGACATTAAATATGTTTTTATGTTTGTGTGAATGGTAACTGGCGTCATTTATGAGAAGGGACATACAAGTGTTTTTAAATGGCCTTTTTTGTCCTCACAGCTTTTTAAAAGTAACATTGGTTCAAACAGTAACTTCCCACAGTCACAAACAGGCTTCATAAAACAACACGCCGGGTGGTTTTATGGTTTTTTCTGAACACCATTCTTCAACATATTAACAAAACAAAATACACTGTTATTTAGTAAGTTTAACAGGGTGTCCGCGGGGTCTGAAAAAGTATTAAAAGTTGATAAATTAATTTAGCGAAAATGAAGGCAATTAAACGGCATTCTCCAAGGTTTTACATTTTGTAGCTTGTTTTCAATAAGTATATAAATGGTCCAAAGAGGTTGTATTCTACAGTCTGCCTGAATGTAATCATGGCGTAGGTGTGTAGTGTGATTCTGTGTAGTTTATTGATGGCATCCCGTTGGGTTTGACGTCATCTGAACAGGACATCGCACGCTCACTGCTTGATAGCGCGCGGAGGTCCGTTTACGCCGGTTGCTAAGCAACATCGTTATGGGGAAATGCAAGTCTGCGTCCAAATGGTTGGAAGATAAGGAGGAAGGACAATCAATACTGTATATAGTCAATGTGAGGTAAAGTGTGTCGCCAAGGTAACCGGTTAGAACTCGAAGTGGAAAGGGTCCAAAGATCCAAAAATACTTAAAGTTCCAAAAATACTTAAAGTTCCAAAAATACTTAAAGATCCAAAAATACTTAAAGATCCAAAAATATCGCAAATGGTTGGAAGATAAGGAGGAAGGACAATCAATACTGTATATAGTCAATGTGAGGTAAAGTGTGTCGCCAATGTGACCGGTTAGAACTCGACGTGGCGATGAGGTCTTAAAATGTATGGAAAGGGTCTTAAAAAAGGTCTGACTAACTGTTTCTTCTACCTTTGTGAGGTGAAGATGGCGCTAAAAGTCAAATTTGCGCACAAAGAAATGCGATAAATAAGAACCCTTTGAGAAACATCGGTTTGCTCAAGAAAACACGTCATCTTGAGAAAAAGTCACAGTTGGTGGGTATGAGAGTTTACATTTGAAGTGACACATTTAGTAGTAAACTTGCAGCAGCAGGGCTCAGGCACTGTGATCAATAACTCGTATCAGCTTTAAAGACTACTGATTCTAAAATTACTCAGAAGTGTGCATGTGCTGTTCTGAAACACATTCTTAACAAAGTTACTTCTTGTCCAAGTTTTTCACGCTGAATGTGAACATGACAAACATTAAATGACAGAAGTTAAATCTACAAATATTTGAATACTTACTTCATCATATTGAATTGTTCCTGGTGCCTGACTTCAGTAGAAGTACATGTTTCTGGTATCTTTACTCCACTACTTATTTTTCTGACGACTTTTTACTTTGACTTTTTACATTTCTTACACAAATACCTGTACTTTCTACTTCTCACATGTTGAACACTAATACCTGTACTTTCTACTTCTTACATGTTGAACACAAATACCTGTACTTTCTACTTCTTACAGTAGAAGTAAGTAATTCTTACTTATTTTGCCATCAGGTCAGGTACTCTTTAAAAGAGCTGGCAGTTAGGGTATTTTTTATTTAAGTACATTTCAAAGCCTGTTCTTTACTTTTACTTGAGGTAAGGAGCTTAGTCAGTACTTCTACTTTGACCAGAGTATTTTTAAACACTTTACTTCTCCTTGAGTAAAGGATGTGTGTACTTCTCTCTGACCCCTCCCCCTCTCTCCCTCTCAGGAGCTCACTTCACTCGGCATCAGCACAGCCATGCTACCTCCTGCCGACACTTCACCTGGCCGCTCCTCAGGCCCCCCCTCTCAGCAGAGTTTCCTCTGGGACCCCCGCCCCCTCAGAGTGGTTTGGCCCCCCACCTGACCCCCGCCCCCCCCCCACCACCCAGCGCCCCTCACGGCCCTGCCTGCAACCCCCGCAGTTCCAGGATGTGCCCGGACCTCCATTCCTACCTCAGGCTTTACACCAGCAATACCTCATCCAGCAGCAACTCCTGGAGGCCACGCACCGCCGGATCCTGCCCCACTCCAGGTAGGAAAACTATATATACCTGCTTTAAAGGTCACCTAAAGGTCACCTATGCAAACCTCTTTTCA